TTTTTATTATACATTTTGAGAAACTCATATTAGAGATAAACTAGTTTTATTGGAAATATTTCCTTGTATGATATGGTATGGTAGAAATGGGTATTTTGGTTGGTGCCCATGTTTTAAATGGAACAAAAAAACACTAATAAAGGAATGAGAGGGAGAATTTGGGCTTAGCAATGATTGGAGAAAGAGTCAAAGGAGATGGAAAAACTGATAGTGTGGTAGCTGAAAAGGGATTTTTTTAGAGAGAAAAATGACTAATGGTTAGGTTTTAAGTAGTTTCATACATATATGCTTGCAAACCTTTTTCTTTCTCTCTCAGACAAAATCTTTTGTCTGCTCTACTTAGCTTATGATGGCCAATGTACTGGATGTTTTTGGATGGGGGGACATATGTGAAGATTTTCTAAGTCAGTCTTTAAAGATTTGTGTTTGGCAAGAAAAGCGTACCTACAGTGAAAGCCAGCACCTGAGTTTGTATGAATAGTAGGGATAACTAAAATGAAACTCTGGAAGATGCAGAGAAAAAAAAAATCACAATGTATACTTACAAATAATCAGCATGTGCTTTGGAGTTTTATGTCCTTGTTAATTTTCTGTCTTGTTGCTCTAACCTTGACAGTGGGGTGTTAAAGTCTCCCACTATTATGGTGTGGGAATCTAAGTCTCTTTGTAGTTTTCTAAGAACTTGCTTTATGAATCTGGGTGCTCCTGTTTTGGGTTCATATATATTTAGGATAGTTAGCTCTTCTTACTGCATTGATCCCTTTACCATTATGTAATGCTTTCCTTTGTATGTTTTGATTTTTGTTGGTTTTTGATTTTAAGTCTGTTTTATCAGAGTAGAATTGCAACTGCTGCTGTTTTTGCTTTCCATTTGCTTGGTAAATATTCCTCCATCCCTTCATTTTGAGCATGTGTGTGTGTGTCTTTGCATGTGAGATGGGTCTCCTGAATACAGCAGACCCATGAGTCTTGACTCATTGTCCAGTTTTCTAGTCTGTGTCTTTTAAATGGGGGCATTTAGCTTATTTAAGGTTAATATTATTGTGTATGAAACTGATCCTGTCATTATGAATCTGGCTGGTTATTTTTCCCGTTAGTTGATGCGGTTTCTTCATAGTGTCGAAGGTCTTCACAATTTGGTACGTTTTCACAGTGGCTAGTCCTGATTTTTCCTTTCCATATTTAGTGCTTCCTTTGTGAGCTCTCGTAAGACAGGCCTGGTTGTGACAAAACCTCTCAGCATTTGCTTGTCTGTAAAAGGTTTTACACTTATGAAGTTTCTTTCACTTATGAAGTTTGGTTTGGCTGCATATGAAATTCTTTTCTTTAAGAATGTTGAATATTGGCCTCACTCTCTTCTGGCTCATAGGGTTTCTACAGAGAGATCTGCTGTGAGTTTGATGGGCTTTCCTTTGTGGTTAACCTGACCTTTCTCTCTCACTGCCCTTAGTATTTTTTCCTTCATTTCAACCTTGATGAATCTAATGATTTTGTGTCTTGGTGTTGCTCTTCTTGAGGAGTATCTTTGTGACGTTCTCTGTATTTACTGAATCTGAATGTTGGCCTCTCTTGCTAGGTTGGGGAAATCCTCCTGGATAATATACTGAAGAGTGTTTTCCATCTTGGTTCCATTCTCCCTGTCACTTTCAGGTACACCAGTCAAACACAGGTTTGGTCTTTTTACATAGTCCCATATTTCTTGGAAGCTTTGTTCATTCCTTTTCATGTTTTTTTCTTTGATCTTTAATTCACACTTTATTTCATTAAATTGATCTTCAGTCTCTGATATCCTTTGGTCCTCTTGATTGATTTGACTATTTATATTTGTGTATGCTTCACAAAGTTCTCATGCTATGTTTTTTAGCTCCATCAGGTCCTTTATGTTCTTCTCTAAACTGCTTATTCTAGTTAGCAATTTGTCTAACCTTTTCCCAAGGTTCTTAGCTTCCTTGCATTGGGTTAGACATGCTCCTTTAGCTTGGAGGAGTTTGTTATTACCCACCTTCTGAAGCCTACTTCTGTCAGTTTGTCAAACTCATTATCTGTCCAGTTTTGTTCCCTTGCTGTCAAGGAGTTGTGATCCTTTGGAGAAGAGGTGTTCTGGTTTTTGGAATTTTCACCCTTTTTGGGCTGATTTTTCCTCATCTTCGTGGATTTATCTACCTTTGGTCTTTGTTGTGGTGACCTTTGAATGGGGTTTTGGTGTGGATGTCCTTTTTGTTGATGTTGATGCTATTCCTTTCTGTTTGTTATTTTTCCTTATAATGGTCAGGCCTCTCTGCTGCAGGTCTGCTAGAGTTTGCTGGAGGTCCAATCCCGACCCTATTTGCCTGGTATCACCAGCAGAGGCTAAAGAACAGAAGAGTTGACTACCTGTTATTTCCTCTGAAAGCTTTGTCACAGCGGGGCACCCACCAGATGCCAGCCAGAACTTTCCTCTATGAGGTGTCTGTTGACCCCTGTTAGGAGGTGTCTCTCCGTCAGGAGACATGGGGGTCAGGGACCCACTTGAGGAGGCATTCTGTCCCTTAGCAGAGCTCGTGCTCTGTGCTGGGAGATCCACTGCTCTTTTCAGAGCCTGTAGGCAGGGAAGTTTAAGTCTGCTGAAGCTGTATGCACAGCTGTCCCAGGGAGATGGGTGTTTCATCTATAAGTCCCTGGCTCGGGCTGCTGCCTTTCTTTCAGAGATACCCTGCCCAGAGAATAGGAATCTGGAGAGGTAGTCTGGCTACAGTGGCTGTGCAGAACTGCAGTGGGCTCCATCCAGTTCCAACTTCCTAGGGACTTTGTTTATGCTGTGAGGGGAAAACCACCTACTCAAGCTTCAGTAATGGCAGATGCCTCTCCCCTACCAAGCTTGAGTGTCCCAGGTCAACTTCAGACTGCTTTGGTGGCAGCAAGAATTTCAAGCCAGTGGATCTTAGCTTGCTGGGCTCTGTGGGGGTGAGATCTGCTGAACTAGACCACTTGGCTCCCTGGTTTCAGCCCCCTTTCCAGGGAAGTGAACAGTTCTGTCTCACGGGTGTTCAGGTACCACTGAAATATGAAAAGAAACTCCTGTAGGAAGCTCAGTCAAACGGCCTCCCAGGTTTGTAGTTGAAACCCAGGACCCTGGTGGCATAGGCACCCAAGGGAATCTCCTGGTCTGTGGGTTGCAAACACCATGGAAACACCAGTATCTGGATCAGAGTGCACCATTCTTCATGGCACAGCCCCTCACGGCTTCCCTTGGCTGGTAGGGGGAGTTCCTTGACCCCTTGCGCTTCCTGGGTGAGGTGACGCCCCACCCTGCTTCCACTCACCCTCTGTGGGCTGCACTGTGGAATCAGTCCCAATGAGATGAGTACCTCAGTTTGAAATGCAGAAATCACCTGCCTTCTTCATTGATCTCACTGGGAGCTACAGATGGGAGCTTTTCCTATTTGGCCATCTTTACAGCCACTTAAGATTAACTTTTGTGTTTCAGATATTTACATATGTTGAGGCTCTAATCCATTCATTTTATACCACTGTATGGCATCCAGTTGTTTAATTACACTGCAAAGTTTTACCCATATTGTGGCTGATTTAAATTTTGATAGCCTCCAGTTTTTTGGCTATTGCAAATGGTTCTTTAGCATATAATTTTGAATGCCTTCTTGTGTATGTATGTTTATGAGAATTTCTCTAAGCTATTTCCTAGGAATAGAATTGTTGGGCTGTGGGATTAAGGTATCTTCACCTTTGCATCATATATGATGCCAGGTTGTTTTTACTAGTGATACCCTCATTAGCAATGTTTCATATGTTTGCTGACTAGATATTTTCAAACTTCTAATCTTTGCCCATGCCCTGAATGTGAAATGGTATCTTATTGTTGTTTTAATTTGTGATTGTCTGATTAACCAGCGAGCTTAAGTATCATTACATATGTTTATTGGCCATTCCAATAAACATTACAGTGTCCTCTCCTGAATATATTTTTTCACAATTTTTCTCTTGTTTTGTTTTCTTTTTCTCATTGACTTATAATGTTCTTCATGTATTTTTGATGCTCTGTCTATTTTGGCATATTCATTACAAATGTATTCTTCCAATTTATAGCTTGTCTTGTCATTCTGTCTACTGATTCATCTATTTATGATGATAAGTTTATAGTTTTAATGGTCAGAATTATCAGTTTTAAAGTTTTTAAAAATATTTTATTTGAAAAACTTTTTATACTTCAATATTGTAAATATAGTTCTCTGTATTTTCTTCTAAGCATTTTATAGTTCTGCCTATCATGTATAAATACTAATCCATGTTCAAATGATTTGGGGACATATTATTAGGTGGAGATCTATTTGATTTTATTTTCATAAAGGTAACCAATTGTCCCAGCACCACTTATTAAACAGTGTGTCCATTACTCACTGGATTTTAATGCCTCCTCTATGCTAGGTTAAGTTCTGTGTGTGTGAGTCTGCTCTTGTTTGTTTGACTTTCTTCCAGGTTCTGCATTCCACCTTTTCTGTATCTCCTATACTTTATATAACTCTCTACCTTTCTTGCTTAAGGCATTTATTTAGATATTATGTCAGTTCTGTCACACTCTTATCAAGTTTGGTAAATATTATATGATTTTAATGGTTTTTCATTATTTTCCTGCCATGGCATGTACATTTCTGTTTGTTCATAATATCTTTCTTTATTGATGGTGTTCTCTAGAAAAAGATCCATCATTTTCTTTTCATTCTGTTTATTGACAGAAGTATTAGAGTTGAAACCACAGTTGAAAGTGTTATAATCTTAATTTAATTTTAAAATGTGAAAGCACACTTTAAAATGCATTTTTATAAATAAATTAAGAATATCCTGCCTTTCCTAAACTACTGGTGTTTTGATTAACACTTTAGAAAAAAAATTTTTAGACAAGCTGATTTTTCTTGCAAGTGAAGCAATATATTATGTTTTCTTTGAAATTCATTAACTATTAGCCCTACCATGCTATTGTTAAATGATGTTCTTTATTTTTTCAGATGCATGGAATCCATTTTCATACCCATATAAAAAACTGGATTATGGAAAATGGGAGTTGTATATCCCACCAAAGAAGAATAAATCTGTACTCGTGCCTCATGGATCCAAATTAAAGGTACTTAGCTCCTTCCTATTTTTCCTTGAACTTACATTCTTTTTATCCTGTTTGCAAAGTTTGATTTAAACCATTAGAATGTGCAATGGATGCATGATAATTGTGGGAGAAACAGTCTAAATGTATAAATAGAGGGAAATTTAGGAGACGGTCTTAGGTTGAAATGGGTTAGATTAGAATTGTTTACTGGTAAGGTATCAAACTTAGATGTATTATCATCACAAGTTTAGAAACTTTATGTAAGAAATGACATATTAAAGATGACTTTGAGTAATTATAAAACTTTAGATTGAAAAACAGAAAGTTTAATGGAAAAATGAAACCTGTCTTCAAATCAGCCAATGTAGAGAGGAGTTTTATCTATAAAAAGGTCAGATGAAGTTGCTGTGGGAGTGGATGCTGTGTCGGATGCTCGGGCATTTTGGGGACTGCTTCTTCTGGTCCTTTCTCTTTCTGGCCTCTGACATGGTGGTGGTGCAGTCTTGTTTATCGTATTCTTCTGTGATAAAGCCACCTGAATTAGCCCATGGCACTCCCTCTCGGAGGCAGGCTGAGTGTCCTCTACTCTCCCTCTGCTTTGTGGTGCTGCATTCAGGGTCTGCAGAGCAGTTAGAGTCAGCTGCTCTTGTCTCATCAAGGGATGTCTGAGGGACAGGCTTCTAAGTCTGGATTACAGATTTAAGGCATTTGATTATAAGAGAAGCTATCTAAATCTTTTCACATTTACTTGATTTTATTCCATGGTCATATAATTATATAATATTTCCATGTCCCTTGTGTCTTCCTTCCTAAAACATTTACCATGATAAATCCTATGATTGAGTTGTTATTTCTATTGGCATTTGTTATTTAACAGTATTAACTCAAAGTTACTCAAATATATTAGATCAAAATGCACAGTATGTTTATTTTGTAGGTTAAAATATTTTACAAATAATGAAATTATAAGCATATATAAAATATAATAAGATACTGCCACACATAATGATAGTAAGCAGAAAAGAACATGGTTTGGAGTGAGGAGACATTCAACAAGAGATGGCAGTCAAGGTTCTTTTTAATCTATAGGAAAAGAGAGAAAAATACTGATAGTATACGGTAAGAGGGATTAAAATTTAATGTAAATAATCCCTTTTCCATGTCAGTATAAGTTCTATGAGAGCATGGCCTTTGCTGTTTTTTCTATTTTTTTATTTTTTTTTCCTAGTTCTGTACACTGTCAGTTCTTTGAACAGTACCTGGCAGAGTGGAGATGCAGAAAATGTTTATTGAGTATTAAAGACATTTTGAGACCCAGTCTTTGAAGGAGTAAATCAAACAGTTTGATTCTTCGATGGTTTTTAAGGGCTAATTTTATAGAAACTGCAGCAAGACAACTATTACTGTTTTTATTGCTGTGTTAGGTCTTAATGGCTGTTTTTTTTCCCCTTAAACCTTTATGTTAAGTTTATTTATTTATTTATTTTAAGAATTAAACTTACTAATTTTTAAAAAGTGTTAGAGAACTTTTTTCTGCCTTTTCCTGTTTTTTTTTTTTTTTTGATATAATTGGCATGTTAACTTTACTGAGTTTTTACTTATTACAATCAATTAATAAGATAACCAATCTAAATAGCAAACATCTCCTTGGCACCAACTGCAGCTGTGAAGTCCCTGAACTCCTTGATTCTGTGATCCCCAAATGTTCTAGGTGAAGCTTCGGAAAGTTCTCAGTCATGGAGGAGGTTTGGTTGCAGGGTTACCCTGGAGGACATCACATCATAAGGTTGATTTTTAGCTGCTGAGTGCCATTTATTCATATTTTCACTAATTCAGCAAATGTGTATTGAGTATCTTCTGTGTATCTGGTATGGTAATATGCATAGAGAATCAGAATTTTAAAAGTCACTGCCTTTAAGGAAATATTAATCTAATACATTAGTTTTTAAAACTTTTATCTGCTCCAATAAGCCTAAGGGCTAGGACACAGATCAACTCAATAGAAGTGGTTTCCTCTGGAAGTAACTGTCAAGCTCAGGAGCCAGGTGTGTGGAAGAGACAGGATGGGCTGCTTCCATTTTGAAATTTGAAAAACAGATTTTCCTTCTTTTGGTGGAGAATCACTATAATAAACATGAATAAATAGACATAAATCTCCTTACCCTCGCAAAGAGGCTTCTGCATGTTTATGTTATTAAACACTCATTCCTCATGACTAGACTCAGCATCATCTGTTAAAAGATAAGACTAAACAGCTCACCAATTTTTTTACTTTGTTAGCCAAAGTAGGAGGCATGAAAAATACCAACGTAAGCAGCTACCACTTACCGAATGTTTCCCATTGACAGATAATTAATTTAGATATATTTTGTCATTGACTTATTACAAAAATTTGATACAGTAAGTATTATTACTACTGGGTCATCCTACATTCTGCTCTACCTGAACAGTACCAGTGTATACTTGTTATCTTAATTATTATTATTATCATTATTATTATTACTTTAAAGACTGAGTTTCACTCTGTTGTCAGGCTGGAGTGCAGTCTCGTGATCTTGGCTCACTGACATCTCTGCCTCCCGGGTTCAAGTGATTCTCCTGCCTCAGCCACCTGAGTAGCTGGGATTATCCATGCATGCCACCACACCCAGCTAATTTTTGTATTTTCAGTATTTTAGTAGAGATGGAGTTTCCCCATGTTGACCAGGATGGTCTAGATCTCCTGACGTTGTGATCCACCTGCCTTGGCCTCCCAAAGTGCTGGGATTACAGGAGTGAGCTACCATGCCTAGCCAATTATTATTTTTTTGATTAATATGGCTTTATTTTTACTTTCAGTTCTGGGATACATGTGCAGAACATGCAGGTTTGTTACATAGGTATATTTGTGTCATGGTGGTTTGCTGCATCTATTGACCCATTCTCTAATTTCCCACCCCTCACCCCCACCCCACGACAGGCCCTGGTGTGTGATGTTCTCCCCGTGTCCGCCTGTTCTCATCGCTCAACTTCCACTTATGAGTGAGAACATGTGGTATTTGGTTTTCTGTTCTGTTTTAGTTTGCTGAGGATGATGGCTTCCAGCTTCATCTATGTCCCTGCAAAGGATGTGATCTCGTTTCTTTTTATGGCTGCGTAGTATTCCATGTTGTATATAGACCACATTTTCTTTGTCCAGTCTATCATTGATGGGCATTTGGATTTGGTTCCATGTCTTTGCTGTTGTAAATAGCACTTCAATAAACATGTGTGCATGTGTCTTTATAGTAGACTGATTTTTCTGATAATTGATACGAAAGTCCTCAATAAAATACTGGCAATCCAAATCCAGCAGCACTTCAAAAAAGCTTATCCAGCTGGGCATAGTAGCTCATGCCTGTAATACCAGCACTTTGAGAGGCTGGGACAGTCGGATCATGAGGTCAGGAGTTCGAGACAAGCCTGGCCAATATAGTGAAACCCCATCTCTACTAAGAACACAAAAACTACTTGGGAGACTGAGGCAAGAGAATCCCTTGAACCCGGGAGGTGGAGGTTGCAGTGAGCCAAGATCACACCATTGCACTCCAGCCTGGGTAACAATGTGAGATTCCATCTCAACAACAACAACAAACAACAACAACAACAAACAACAACAACAACTTATCCATCATGATCAAGCTGGCTTCATACCTGGGATGCAAGGCTGGTTCAACATATGCAAATCACTAAATGTAATCCGTCGCGTAAATAAAAACAAAGACAAAAAACACATGGTTATCTCAGTATATGCAGAAGAGACCTTTGATAAAATTCAACATCCCTTCTTGTTAAAAACTCTCAATAAAATAGACATTGATGAAACATACCTCGAAGTAGTAAGAGTGATTTATGACAAACTCACAGCTAATATCATATTGAATGGGCAAAAGCTGTAAGGATTCCCTTTGAAAATCGGCACAAGAGAAAGATGCCATCTCTCACCACTCCTATTCAACATAGTGTTGGAAGTTCTAGCCAGGGCAGTCAGGCAAGAGAAAGAAATAAAGGGTATTCAAATAGGAAGAAAGGCAATCAAATTGTCTCTGTTTGCAGATGACATGTTTCTATATTTACAAAATCTCATCATCTCAGCCTGAAAACTCCTTTAGCTGATAAGCAACTTCAGCAAAGTCTCAGGATATAAAATCAATGTGTGAAAATCACAAGCATTCCTTTACACCAACAATAGACAAGCAGAGAGCCAAATCATGAATGAACTCCCATTCACAATTGTTACAAAGGGAATAAAATACCTAGAAGAACAGCTAACAAGGGATATGAAGGACCTCTTCAAGGACAGCAGCAAACCACTGCTCAAGGAAATACAAGAAAATTAATTATTGTAAGAAATGGGTAGCATTCTGTCTCTAGTTCAGCATAATACTACATCTTAATTTTCAAATAATAATCAGAACAAATTTTAGGAAATGACATCTGTCATATCTAAATCTATTTTTCAAAATCTAAATACTGTAAGTCTTTTGTCACATTTTCTACAATTGAGCTCTCCGTAAAGGAGTTGAAACAGCTTCCATTTTATTATTGTAGATGGTATTTTTCATAGATCTAACTGTGCTTTTTAGGCAATTAAAATCATACGGCTAAAATAAACACATAATTTAGAGTTTTTCCTTAAAATTATTTTCTTGATAACTTTTGTATTTGAATAGATCATTATGTATCAAATTGATATGTTTGTGGCAGTGGAGTTATATCTCCCTCTTTTGGAAAGTAGAGGCATGGCATTTTGATTGAGTTTAAATTGTTCTTTTCAAATTTTCAGTTTACATAATTTCTTGAGCTTACAGATTTAAAAACAATATTTTTCTCTGGTATAGTTTTTCCTTGGAAATTTTTGACATTAATAAAAAGTTAAGCTTTCTTATATATGTATGTGCATGTATATTTCTTTAGACAAACCACTGCTCAAGGAAATAAAGGACATTTGACATGTGTTTCAACACAGGAAAACTTTTTATCTTGATATTCAAAGTGCCTTT